AGCTGGCGGCGTGACAGGGTCCAAGCTGGGACCGCGCTGGCTCTCCTCCCGCCTTGCCCTGGGGACTGTGCAGGCTGACACGGCGTGCAGCCGCACACGTGCGTCCTCTGGCAGTCCCGTGGGCTCTGCGATGGAGATGGATCCCGCTGGATCCTATTCGGTGCTGGATCCCACCCAAGCTCTCCTCAGTGCGTTGGTGCAGAGCGGTCCAGTCCCTTACATGGAGCAGGAGATGCATCTTCCGTGCAGGGGAGGGAAGAAGAACGTGCATTAGCTGCAACTTCCCCAAACCCCCCAAATTCTGCAATGATTCTCAAGATCAGCCCTTCCAGCTTTGGAACGGTATTTTTGGCGTCACATACTGAATCACCAACACCTCAACACGTGTGCTTGGTTTTGCCCAGGCGAGTGGCTGGATGAGTGACAGGAGCTCTGCCGTCGCTGTGGAGCGCCATCAGCCAGGCTACGTAGACTCTGGTATTTGGGTTGCCCGTACAGTCTGTGCTAACAGCAACACCCGCATGAGGTGCAGCACCCAAAAGAGTTTTTCTGAGGTGTGATGGGTTCTGTTCCCCGATGCTGTGGCAGGTGCAAATTTAGGAGCATTAAAATGCGAGCATTGCAAAGCTTTGCTGCTCGTTAAACTTTGCAGGAAATGAGAAACGTTATCTTATTGCGGCCATCTCCCAGTCTGCCTGAGGTGAGCCTGCCTCTCGGACTGGGCAGTAACGCCGAGTTGGTGGGACGCAGCTGATCTGTGTTCCTGAGCACGGGGCTGACCGTGAAACTTTGCACACAGGCGACCTCCCGTCCCCCGAGCTGTGTCCTGTGACTTGCACAAAGTCCTCTCCTTCGATCCGCGATCGCAGCTTACAGAGCTGGAGCAAATGCCTGCGGTGGCCAGTAACGCTTTCCCTTTAGCAGCCACCTGCTGGTCGTTGAGCGTGAGCTTGATGCTAGCTGACAGCGGTTATTTTTAGAGATGTGGTTCATTGAAACCTGTTGTTGGTGGGAAGCTGAAATGCGCGTTTTAACCACCTTGGTTGAGAAGCAGAGAGCTGTGGAGCTCAGGAGTGTAATTTTCCTGATTACAGGGTGCACTTTAGCTACGGAACGTAGGATGCAGAAGGAGGCTGTTTTGGTCTGTGTTTTCTGTAAATATAAAGCAGTTTGTTGTTTAATGAATTCTGTTTTCACGTGTTCCTGGATAACGGCGGATGGAAGCTTTGGGAGCAGCCACGTGGGCAGGCTGTTGCGATGATAGCAACGCACCAGTTGTCCTTTTCCCCCCATTCCCCTCCTTGCCCCCATCTTCCCCACTGTTCCCACTGCTGCGTCCTCAGATAAATCTACACCAAAAGTAAAGTGGGCACCAGCTGTCTGTTGAGTGGGTGTCCTTGTCCCGTCATGACCTCGAGCTTGCGTGGGAAGACAGCAACGTGAGCAGTAGCCCAGGTAAAGCTACCAAAGTGCTGGTGGTTTTTCCGTCTTTTCTTCGTCATGTTACATCTACCAGCGGGCACTAAGCAGGTTTTCCATACAGCCAGAAAGCAAAAGCCTCGCCTCTTTGTTGGTTAAGAAACACATTGCAATCAATTTTTCAGGAAAGGATGAAAATGTAGGAGGGTTGTAAGTACAGAAGGGAAGAACATGTGGTTCAAATGAGCAAGAGGGCCAGATGTTTTTAAAAAGGCATAAAGGTTGCACCGACAAAATGTCCACCCGACCATAAACTGGCCAATTGCATGTGCAGAATATTTAAATCTGCATGTAAAACAGTTGTGCGTGCACCTAAGTACTGGTACATTTTGCATGCCAAAGTCTATCATTTGTGCACCACACTTTGTTCGCATGTGTGCAGATTTTGCAGGTGCAACCGTCAGTTCCTTCTTTGAAAACCTGGCCCCGCTTTCAGAGAGAGACGTATTTGCTGGGAGACTTCAGTGAGTAGACGTGTTTCAGTCCCCATCCATCATTCTGCTTTCCATTTCAGGCACGGATCAGAAAGTTTGGACCCAAAATCTTACAGTTGCTGACAGAGTGGACAGAGACCTTCCCGTATGACTTTCAGGAAGAGCGGATGATTGGCCACCTGAAAGACATGATTCACAGGATAGCCCCGTGTGATGAGGTGAGGATGTCCGACCCGGGATGCTGTGTGGGGATGCTGTGTTCATTTTCCCGCTTGGTTCCTCCTTTTTCTCCTTTTGCCACTTTCTGTTCCTTGCCTGTTCCGGGCAACTCTTACAGTTTTGTTCTCCGCTAACAGTTAAAACCTGTAGCAGCTTCCCCGAAAGCCACGTTTCTCAGTTTAGGGACCCCTCTGGCAGTGACATGAGGACACATTGGAGCGATCAGTGGAATTTATCTACTGCACATCGAACTGTAAGGGAATAAAATTTCCATTTTACAGATGGAAGATCTGAGGCGTAGCATGGGCTGAATGTGGTGGTCGCAACTGAAATAGCAACAGAGCTGCGATCTCCCAAGTTAGAGTCTGGCAGAGGAGGGCAGTATCGTGGGCTGAGGCCACCCATCCTGGGCAAGCAGTGGCTCAGGGAGCGCTCCAGGGAGTTCAGTGAATGAGGAGTGGAACAAGCGATTGCATTGGGGAGCTAAAAAAGATCATCAGTTGCCTGGTGGTACCTCACGAAGGTTCCTTTTCTCTAAGAAAATGGGTGGTTGTGAAAGGGTAACCACCAAAGGGCGTTCATGGTCCTTTTTTGTCTTGCCTTCTCCTTTCGCTTATGTCCTTGATCACCTGTGCGGAAATCTAATTTGCCATTCCTTACCTTACATGTCTCGAGTCTGCTAGGCGTTTTGAAAAGCAGTCTCTGCATTTTGTCATCTTTGGCATTAGTGACTCTAAGAAGGGTTTGGCTTACACCCGCCTGTCCTGTGCAACGGAGTCACGGGCCCTGTGCTCGAGCTGGCTGATGTTGTAAAGCAGGGGCCCAGGCAGGAGGCGAGCGGGCGCAGGGCAGCAGACTCTGGTCACGGTTTGACTGATGCCACTGGAGCCCCCACCAAAGCTCACGGGATCTGCAGGCCAAGGGATAGCTCCTGTTGCGTCCTGTTTGGCTGGTATGATGAGATGGCAAGGGACAGTCCTTGCATTTAAAGACAATACAAATGTTTATGGAGATGTAGCTTCTCCGGGAGCATGGAAGTGGCAGAAGACAGCAGTGTGTGGCCTGCTGGGCAAAACTTGGTCTAGATGGCTGTATGTTCTTGGTGTTCAAGTGCATGAGCCACGTGTGTGGCAGAGCAGGACACAGTGAATGGAGCCTCTGGGAGACCTGTTTGCAAATTCAGGTGGGTGAACCCCATAAATTAGTTCAGAAACATTAAAAATACCACAAAATCCTTGAAAGTAATAAGGATAAGAGCAAATAGTCCATAGCAAGTCTCTAATTACCTCTAGGTTAACCATGGGATGTGGAAGAATTCAGTTCCATTGGCTACATCAAGGCCTGGCTTCAGGCCACAGATGGGTGCAATTCAGTAGAACAAAAATCGCATACCCATGAGTCCAAAAAGTAGAGGGGTGGAGAGAAAGAGGAGGAATTAGCAGGGTTGCAGCACAACAGAAAAAAAATTGGACCCTCCTACCCACATGAAACACAAGAGAAATGGAAACAGCTGCTCTTGGGCTGGGCTGGCATCATGGTGGCACTTCTGGGTGGCTGTAGGCTGGCATGGCTGGGCTGGCCAGCCCGTGGGAGGGAAGGGGAAGCTGTGTGACACTGATGGAGGTGAAGGGAAAAGAAAGGACTTTCAGAAAGAGCCATGGAGGCCTCGGTTCCATTGACCAGAGCAGTAAAACTTCTCCCTCAAGGGGAAGAGGCCATGAACTTGCCCCTGTCCACCGCCAAGAAAGGTGCCTTGCAGCCCTCCAGCATCTGAAGTGAGAGACACCAAGATCCTGCCCGCTGGAGGGAAGGAACCAGCCAGAAGAGCAGAGCACAGGGGGTGTATGGGTGCTCTTTAGAAGCAGTAGCTGCCCTGGTGAACAGCAGTAAATGCTAAAAATCAGCTTTTTACACAGAAAGCCTAACGTGAGCGAGTGCTGCGCACCTTCGCTCTGGAGCGGGCGTAGCTCTGTACCACTGCTTATGGGTGACCTTTGGGGCAAACCGTTGTTTTTCAACTATTATTAGGCACTATAATTGCAAAACCAATACGTAATTTAAGAAACAGCTCATATCCTGCAAATGCGAATTTCCTTTTCTAAGGGACAGCACAGCAGGGTGGTGGGGCCCAGTAGTTGTTTGGAAGAAAGCTGTCCCCAGTGTGGATGGCAGCAATCGATCGAAGGGTTTGCGAGGCCGTGTCGTCGCTAGGGGCTGGCGCAGGCTTCTCCCCGGTGGCGTACGCTCCTGGCCTGTGTGAAGGCGATTCCAAAGCCTCTGTGATGTGCTTTTGAAGGCGGCCCTGCTGAGAAGCATTTCTTCGTAAGTGCTGTGATTTGCATTTAGAGTTAAAAATTTTAATTAAAATTTGAGCTCCTAAGCCCCCTGCCGAGGCCTGCCGTCTTCGGAGCAGCTCTCCCAGCTAAGAATAAGACATTTTCTTTCAATATTAGACAGTAGTGAGCTGCTCTTGGCTGTTAATGTGGCAGCGAAGCGACAGCGGTGGGTCGAGTCCAGCACGCAGCCCCTGTGCAATGGGGGCCACTGGGGCACGGCAATCACCAACACGTTGAAGGCGATGAGCAATGTTGTTTTCACTTGGTGAACGCAGCTTAAAGGCATCGGGAAATGCTTTTAGAAGGGCAAAAGCAGGATTTGTTTTTTAATTTCTCCCCTACCGCACACAGAAGAGGTTTCTGGGCAAGGGCGCACCCAATTGATTTTCAGTCTCTTCAAGAGCTCTCATTTCTGAATGATCTTCCTGTGTCCATCAAGTGTCTCTCTCATTTCATTCTTTATTAGAGGCTTGGCTCACCCGGGTGTTTGCTGCTTTCAGTATCTGTGTTGTTACGCTGTATTCCCTACAAAACCAGGTGAAACGACATCCCTTGATGAGGGTTTATGGAAAGGCTGGCTAACATGCTTAGCTCTCAAGGCATTTTATGCTGCTTTTTGGCTTTTCATCCAAACAGGGAAGAATTGGATGCTGCACAGCCGTGGCTGGTCCAAGATTTCCCATCCAAACTCCTTTTTGAAGGAGAACTGGGTTTTCGGCTAAAAGTTTTATGTTCTGTAGAAGACTTGGATTTCAGTGCCGTGCCTGCCCCCTGCCCCAGAATTAATTCCCCTGTTTACAAAATACATTCACAAAATACCAGATATGTTGCTACTTGAGTTTCCACTGAAGAACAGTGTCCTGTTCATGGAGCTTAACAAGCTGTGCTGGGATTTGCAAACACACCTGGATGAAAACCGGAGAAATATTTAGATGGTGTTCAGCAGTTTATGTCCAGGACAGTCTTTGTAAATCAAAAGTGTGACCATCTGTTTGCGTGAGGATTTACATGAAGAAGGCCATCTTGGAGCTAGTAAACATCAGGAACAGATAAAAACTGGAAGAATGTTTTTTATTTTCTAAAAAGTATTTCAATTGATTATTTTTACATTTTCCTCACTCGATTTTTCACTACTCCTGTGTGATTTGCTTCCAAACACCTTGGAGCTAGTAAACATCAGGAACAGATAGAAACTGGAAGAATGTTTTTTATTTTCTAAAAAATATTTCAATTGATTATTTTTACATCTTCCTCACTCGATTTTCACTACTCCTGTGTGATTTGCTTCCAAACAGAACAAGTGTTCTCATTCTCCAAGACAAGTCCCTCCTGCCTTCTAGGTGCTTGCTTCATTTCAGACTTACCAGCTCTGTTCTGCAGCAAAGCCTGACTGCATCCTGCTTACCTGGCCCATGTTCCAGCCCAGCTCAAGAGAGCGTCCTCCTTGAGCGAAACGAGAGGTTCCTCCGCAACACGAGACCTTCTGCTAGAAAAGCTGCAGGCAAGTTAAAGTGCTGCAGCAGAAGTTGAAGCGTGGGGGATGTTCTGAAGGTTTCCAGCCGCAGAGCGTAATGGAAACAGGGTGGATGTGAGCATGTTGTGCTTCACTGGGAAGCCGTAGGAGATGCTACTTCAGTGTGCGGCTGGGATCCTGTGCAGGTGAGAAGGGCACTGATGCTGGCTTCTGGTACCTCCAACACCTGAAGCATGAGCACTGTCAGTGCCTCACACTGGAGACCATCCAGCATCTACACAAGTCTGAAGAAGACAAAGGCTGTTCCTAAACCATGGGATTCGGGAGTGCTTCCCAAGACTGCACTTGGGCTGCATCCAGCTTGGGATGCAACACGGGTGTGTGCTGGTCTCCACGGGAGGGCACACTCCGGCCAGGTCCCTGCGGTGACGGTGAGGGCGCAGGGAGGTGCTACGTGGCAGGTTACAAACTGGAGTTACTGGCAACTTGACGTTACTCATTCTGTTTGGATGGGGAGTGAGGAGTTACTCCACTTGGGAGCAGCCGGAGGATCTCTCCACTGCGTGTCCTTCTGCTGGCAGAGGAGCTGGTAGTAGGCCAGCCTGCAAACTGTTTTCCCAAGTGACCTTGCTCTTTGAAATTGAGCAAGCACCCCCTGCACCCTGCCTGATGCTCCTTTCCCTGGCTGGGAAAGCCCACGAGGCTGTGTTCCTCAGCAGGGTACGCCCCATGCTCCACGTGAGGCTTTTGCCCAAGGGCATTTCCAGTTAATCCTTGTCTTTTTTTGACATCCATTTTTATGATGTCTGCATCTGTCAGTCATGAAGAGTTGAAGGCATTTCTTTCTGCTGATCCTCCATGGCCAGCAGCTCCACACGCTCTCCAGCTCTGAGAACAACCTGAGCAACTTAGCAATGATCATCCTGCTGAGTACATGGCTGTGCTTGGAATGCAATATGAGCTTCCTCCAGAAGCAATTAACGTTTTGGATATTAAACATGCAAAGCTTCACGATGCTCAGACCACTCCAACTGGGTAGCAAGCAGCAGCATGCTTCTGCTGCTCTCAGCTCAAAAGGATGGAGAGAACGGTCTGCCCCCGATGTTGGCAGGAGCCTGTGAGTATCGGTGCCAGCCCAACCCACCAGCCCTGCCCGCCTCTTCTCTTGGCTGCAGCCTGTTTCTGTGGTCCAGAGCACAGAGCTGTAATTAAGCCAACTGGTTATTCTGAAATAGGCTTGTTGGAAACAAAATGGTAACCTGTTGCTGGCTTAGGAGTGTTTTGCAGAAGGGAGAGTTCAGCATAAACCCACTCCTTTGTCAAGGTCTGCGTGTGCTTTATGTTTCTTTCTCTCCCTGTCTCTCCAGGCCTACTGGAAAAAGATGAATCAGCTTCTACAAACCCTGAATCAGAAGCTTGCAACCCTCAGCCACGGGCAAGAAGGGATTGTCAAGATCAGCGCTGCTGTCTCTGATAAGCTGGTTGCCTTTAAAAGCAAACCTCCATCGATTCAGCGAGAAATCCTGAGCGTCTGCAGTGACCCTTACACTCTGGCTCAGCAGCTGACACATGTGGAGCTGGTAAGTGGGAATGGTTCCCAACTTCTGCAGTCAGAGCTGTTATTTTAAGCCATCAGCTCTTCCAGCCCCGTCCCGTGCTGTATCAGCACTGCAGCAGCAGGCAGGGTTTGGCAGGTTAAGAGGTGCCGGGGAAGCAAGCTGTCTGTCGGAGCATCCGTGCATCTTGGGGAGGGTCACTTTGCCTCTGTAGCTGGCTTATTTGTGAAATGCAAGTCATAGTCCCAGGAAGGTCAAGGAGTTCTCACTTCTGTAAGGTGCTCTGAGCCCCACAACCTGAAGGTGCTATTGAAATGGCTGATCGTTAGCCCTTGTATTAATTTGGGGGAAATTTTAACAGTTCAAGTCCGTTCCTTCAGCTACACAAAGCATGGGAGCAGCCTGACATGTTTTTTGTTCTTCTCTTTGGGACTTTGTGCATGGACGTACAAGGGCATGCAAATACTCCTATACCAAGTCCTGCTGTTCCCCTCCTTGGACTGCAGCCCGCTCTCCAGCAGGCTTTTGGTGGTAATCACTCCAGTTGCAGTACCAGGATGCTGGGCAGAGGGCTGCGCTGCACACCCTTCGGCCGGGTCCAGGTCCTCTGCGCAGCCCTCCTGGACGTTGACGGAAGAACCCAAACCATTGCTGCCATCTGCAGATCTCTTGATGCTCTAATGGCTCCCTGCTGCCTGTCCTCCTGTAGACACTGTTCGTCCTTGAGGGGACGCTGGAAAAACAGACCATTTTGGGGTTGGACTAGATGATCTCCTGAGGCTGGAAAAACAGACCATGAGATGGGCTGTGGATTGGAGTGAGTGCCATGGAATTAGCCTTGGCAGTTCTGAAGGTAGCTGATATTCTGTTTGTCAAGACATGGAACAGTTCACCAACTCCAAATGTAGGATCATCTCCTCGCTTTGGTTAGTTTTCAGAACGTGCAGCTTCGGTGCTCTTGGCTTTGTGTAACTTAAACCAGAGTCCTTTTGCCTGGAGCTTTTTTCTTGCTTTGCTTTTCCTCCACAGCACAACTGTCTTCCAAGGGGAGAGTCCCTGTAACTGGGGCACGGCTGCACTTTTAAAACTGATGCAGCCAGAGGTTTTGATTGCGCTTTACTGTAACTGATGCTCCCTGCCCTTCTCTTCCACTTACTGCACCCAGTACGCCAGCACTGAAACGGGCCGACGCTTATTTGTTAGTAAGAATTATTTGCTGCTTATTTAATAACAGTGATTTGTTACTCAGAGTCCTGCGTGGTCATCAGTGGCAAGGTGAGAAGCCAAGGGAGACAGCCTAGGAGCAGCCATGCAATTTTCACTTAAGCAAAATTACCATTTATTTTATTGTTGCTTGAGTGTACTAAGCTTGGGCTGTAGGAATTCAAAAATATCTCCTCTGAAATACCTTTGTGGCCTACAACCTACTGATTTTTTTTTTTTTCTTCCGATAAACACATTTAAGGGGATTGAAAAGCCTAGCAAGAAGGCCAGCGTGCGGCTGGAACTGCCAGGTTTGCTCAGCAGCCGGAGGAGATGGCCGGTCTCTTACAGAGGGAGACCTGGATGCTTTATTTACTCTTGGTTTGGGTAATGCCTGGGGCGCGCTGCGGTGCCAGCAGTGCCTTTAATGCAAGCACAGGCATCTTTGAGTGCCTGCCGTCCCCGGGGGTGCAGAGCCAGCACCCCGGGCATCGCCTGGGCTGCGCTGGTGGGGAGGCAGTGCCAGGGCACGGCTGTGCAGAGGAGCAACAGACTGCTGTGGTTGCCAGAGCACAGCTTTGCTGCCACTTTAACAGCTGGGATACAGGCGACTGAGTGATGCTGGACCGCAGCGGGTCTGCGGCAGCGCCAAGCACAGAACGGAGGTCTGCTGGCTCCCAGATGGAGCCTTCTGCATCCAGCACCTTTGTCTCTGCGCAGTGACGGGGGTTCTTACTGTGGTTTGTCAGTAATGAGACACATTTATTCTCATTTTCTTCTTTCTGCTGAAATCACTCTAATTGTTCTTATGAATTTTCATGTCTGGTGCTAGTTGGCTGCCTACCAGTTCCGTAACACCATTCAGAGCTGACAGATAACAGGGGTGTCTTACCAAAAGAAACAGAAGATATTCCGGGGTGCTTTCTCACTTCTTCCTCTCTCTCTCTCTCTCTCTCTTCCCCCCCCCCCCCCCCCATAGGAGAGGCTAAGTCACATTGGACCTGAGGAGTTTGTGCAGGCATTTGTACATAAAGACCCTCTGGATGGCACCAAGGTATGATTTGTCTGCATGCAAAGTCTTTCCTGCGACCACTGCTTGTCCTGGATGAACTGAGTGCTGAGATCCGTCAGAGCAGGGCCTGGGGCACGTGTTGGCCAGGGCCAGGCCAACGGGCAACCTGTATTCTCCTGGCAAGGATGGGACCTGTTGGTGGAGCTCACGCTGGCAGGTCACTGCCATTCCTTCTGGGGAGAGTATGGCCCAGCCTGGCCCAGTATGGCCCTGATGTTCTGCTCTCTGGGGTGTCCCTCCTGACCTGCTTTGCCCAGGGCAGATGGCTCGTGGCTGTTCACAACCAGGGAATGTCTGTTCCCGGCGCTGAAGGCGTAAAGGCTCTGGGCGTGATGTAATGGCCATGGAGTGTGCCCAGCCACCACAGTGATGAATCAGTGCGTCATGAATCAACGTACTCTTCTCTCTCTACACAATAGCTGTTAACCCAAAGCACCACAGGGAATGGAGTGCTCCAGGGCTTCATCCAAAGCCCATGCAAGCCAGCTGGAGTCTTTCCACTGATTCCAGTGGGGTTCGAAGCAGCATTTCAGTGAGTGCCTCCATGAGGAAAGAGACTTCCTGGCTGGAGAGGGAGTCAGAGATTTCACGTCCTGCCAGAAAAGACAGAGGGTGGAAAATTCTTCCCCAGAAGTGCATATGGGCTCCCCCTGAGATCATGCATCAGTGGCGGAATTTCCCCATTGGATGCTGAACGTAACAGAAGACCTCTGTCCCTAGCGCTGCCCAGAGAGCACCAGAATAGCTTGGCCGGGGGAAGAATGGATGGACGTGCGGATGAACAAAAAGTGCAACACTGGGCTCTTTCCTCCTTGTGTTTGAGATATGGGGATTCTGCTGTTGGTTTCGGGGAGAGGGGAGTGGGCAGAGATGGTGTTTCACGTGTTCTGAGCATCGATCGCATCCCGAAGTAGCAAAGGTGTGTCAGGAACATGAAATACCATGGTAAGCACAGGGGGATTTCAGCAACCTGCTGCAAACATGAGGGACAAGACCGAAAATGGAAAGCTGTCATTACCCATATCAAAGTGAAATGAAAGAGCTCGAGTGAGTGCACTAAATCTGAGTGAACTTTGGAAGAGTGGGAGGGAGGCAGCAGTGAGTGACATCAAATTGCAGAAAGCCGTAGAGGGGGAGGGATGCTAAAGGAAGAAGGAAATGTTCAGTAATAAACTAATGTATGCACGACGGCTGCAGCTGTGCCTAGAATTTTAGATGCAGGGCCAGCGTAGGATGCCACCGTGATGCGAAGAGGAATTGAGGTTATCAAGTAAACATAAGGGAACGTCAGCTGAGGTGGCCAGGAGGGATTAGAATGAGAGGCGGAGACCCTGAAAATAATGGTGGGATGGGACATCCAAGCAAGTCACCTTGACAGAGTATGGCAGCTCTTTGACAGTTATGCATGTTCCTCAAATGCAAATCTGAACTCTGAGGAGCTGCCCAGTAGCAGTTCTGGGACTTCAGCGAAGCATGTAACAGAGAAAATAAGAGGTGCAGAGCAGGGGTGCACCACTGCATTGCCTTTTAAGTTCAAGGCAGCGTCATGCCCCCAGGAGGATCTCCTTAGTAAAGCAAATACTGCCGTAACATTTTCACGTGAGACGTGGCACTAACAAATTACTGGGATTCAAGCCAGCAGGGCTGATGAAGGCAGAGGTAGTTTGCAACTTCTCTCCACCCTTTCCCTGGGCTGACCAGAGGTCCCGGCAATGATTTAGAAGTGCCTCCACACCAGGGTAAGGTATGGCTGGGATACGGCATGGGACCTGGCAGCACGTTGTACATGGCAGCACAAACCTCAGGTGGAGTGACATCTCATCCCCGCCCATGGCGACCCCCCCGCTAACCGCAGGGAACTGGCTCTCACCTGAACTCCCCCAGATCACATTGAACATCTTCCTTGCGTGAGGGCTTCAGAAGGCTTCGCTCACGAGTGCTTATTGGGCACGTTGGGTTGCAGATGGGAGATGCTAGGGAGGCGCTAAATCTTGTTGCCATTTTTGAAGCTCAACCTTTACAAAGCAGCCTGCTTCAGCTGTTGCACGTTTTTCACCAGTTTTGTGGTACTAGCGGTGGTTCTTACGGCCTGGCACAGGACGCAGTGTCGAGATGGAAATACCGTATTCAGAACAAACCCGAGGGTCTGTGAACTTATTTGCTATAAGAAAGAACAACACCACAGAGCACAAGAAAAGCAGCTCCTGCAGATAAACTTGCTTTGGGTATCCTTTGTTTTGTTTGATATTTACGTGCTGCTTGCCCACGTTTACCTTTGCGATGCTTTTAAAATCGAGTTTTATCGTATATGTAGTCTACTTGTAAAGTGGCCAGGAATTTCAGGTTTGTTAAGGTTTGCTCCATAGCGTGGGTACTGTGATTTCTGTTTCTAAATATGCCTGTGTGCAGAATCACCAGTGAATATTTTCTTACCTTAAATTACCTTGGGAACCTTGTTAAGCCCCATGTCTTACGGGGCTTTAGTCACTTGTTCAACTTCCATAATACGGGCAATCCCATTGACATCAGCGGAGCTGTGTTTCTGCGATGTGGTTTGCTGCTTTGTGGCGTGTATTTATGGCAGCTCTGGGAAATGATCATCCTAATAAAACAAACCATCAGTATTCTCTGATACCCTCTAGTGGATGTTAATGAACGTTCAAATAAATCACGTGAACTCCAGAGAGCAGCGTGTCCTAGATGGACAGCCCAAGAATTTAGGGCTGGGAAAAGGATTTAAGAATTCTTATAATCCCAGGCAGCATCTTCAGGCTATGTGAACCGCCCTGTCGCTCCACTGAAGCCAAATTATCTGTTGATGCCAAAGGAACTGGAGGAGTTCAGCCGAGTATTTGCCCCCACAGCCTGTATCGCTTATGGGAATTTGTTAAGTTTCGTACAAAAAAAAGCTGCTTGCAGTGGCTCTCACCAGTGAAGTCGCTCTATGGCACGGAAGCGACCTGTTTGGAGCAGCTGCTGGGATGGAGCTGGGCACTGGAGAGCCCGGTACCCTCAACGCCCAATAAGGGAAATATTTTTTTCCATAAAGAAACCATGAGAACTGGTTTCTTTTGCTTACCTCTTGTTTGCTTCGCTAAATTACAGTCTCTCCCCTCCAGAAGAGGGCTGTGGGTGGCTGTGTTTCCTGAGGGGGAGGCGGGCCTGGGATCACGGGCACAAGCTGGGCGTGCTGCGGAGGACCCCGCTTGTCCTTCTGCACGTGGGTGTTGTGGCGGCTTCCCTGCGCGCGAGGGAGACGTGGCCGAGCGACGGCCTCTGCCAGCGTCTGCCTTTGCCATCGGGCAGCTGACGGAAACACAGTTCTACGCCGTGCTGTGGCTTTTTTCTCCCCAGAGTTGTTTCGGTGAGCAGAAGAAGACGAGCAACCTGGAGGCCTACGTGAAATGGTTCAACCGGCTCTGCTATCTCGTGGCAACAGAAATCTGCATGGTGAGTGACAAGTACGTGGCGTGTTTGACCCCGGTTTGAGGCTGTACGTTAATAAGCAAGCCTGGGGATTTATTTCTGCCGTGCTGTGGCTTTTTTCTCCCCAGAGTTGTTTCGGTGAGCAGAAGAAGACGAGCAACCTGGAGGCCTACGTGAAATGGTTCAACCGGCTCTGCTATCTCGTGGCAACAGAAATCTGCATGGTGAGTGACAAGTACGTGGCGTGTTTGACCCCGGTTTGAGGCTGTACGTTAATAAGCAAGCCTGGGGATTTATTTCTTATGACCTAGCTAAGCAGCTGACAGTAAGGTTCAGTAATACTGCGCTCCCAGAAGCGACCTGATAAATGACAACAGCATCGCAAAGCAGAGCTGGCGACACACGGGGGATGCTCTGTTCTCTGATGTAGTAGGAGCACAGTGTGGAGTAACGAACCCCGCAGGGAAAAAGAGAAGAAAAAATGCCTTGAATTATCCTGTGAGATTTCTGCTGGAAAAGGTTCTGGTGGAGCGGTATTTGTTATCCGTCATCTGTTGTACTTGTGAATTCCCATTGCAGGGCCCTTTGCCCTGTGCCCGCTACTGCAGCTGTGACCGCAGTGGGTTTGTAACTTGACAGTGGTTTTATTTCATATAACTTGGCCCTATCAGAATGAAATGAGTGGTTCCTCCTTTGACAAGGGTGTGGAAGGGAGGAATAGTAACGGTATAAACAGCCTAGCTAGCCCATGGCTCAGAGGCATTATCATCTGAAGATCATCTTCGGAAAAGGTGAGGTGATTCCAGCCCAGATAAAAGGTGTATCTGAAATGCAAGCTATCATTTGGCCTGCCCGTACTGCTGAAAGGGCCAGAAGAGGAGAAGGGGATTAATGCAGTGAAGCAAAGTCTGTCTGGGGCAAAGATGCCGCTGTTAGAGGGGTGTGAAGTCCTGCCCTTCGGGAAGTCCGTGCCGACGGATGTGCCCACAGCCTTGAGGGAGGCCAGCAGGAGCTGCGGTGCTGCTCGGGGCTGTTCCAGCGCTCAGACATCGACTGAGGCAAGGCTGGGCATTGCTGTTTCACTGCAGTGAGAGCTTTGATTGTAGAGCCCGCCAGTCACCAGCATCCTCTGGATTGCTGGAACAGAACTGGGGCCGGTGACCAACAGCAGGCGACCCAGGCTGTGCACGGACCCCTGCTGTGCGTGGAACAAACACCTAGGATCCCCTCCGATCCTGCACGTGCTTATTGCAGATACTCGTTTGTTTTAATTTGCAGCCTGCAAAAAAGAAGCAGCGAGCACAAGTCATCGAGTTCTTCATTGACGTTGCCCGGGAGTGCTTTAACATAGGGAATTTTAATTCGCTGATGGCAATCATTTGTAAGTACAGCTTCTAACCAGGACTCTCCATCAGCTGCCACGGATGAAAAGGGGAAACCTGACTCTCATCCATGGTTTTCTTTTCTTCTTTCTTGCTCCTAGCTGGAATGAACATGAGTCCAGTTTCCAGGCTAAAGAAGACTTGGTCAAAAGTGAAAACAGCCAAATTTTTCATTCTTGAGGTAAAAAAAAAAATAAGACACTGATACGTGGCTTCAACCCTATTGTAGATTTTATTTTTGTTTGTGAATTTTCACATTTTCCTCCAGGTCTGAGATGTTTGTAGACGTGTTTCACAGGCAGAGGGCCAAGTTCAGGCTGAGGTGTAGTGAGGAAGTTGTGAAGCTGCTCAATTGTAGAGGGGAATCGGAGCACTCGAATAAGAGGAGGAAAAAACCACCAAATATGGGCTTATGTGCACGCCATAGGGCTTCCCCTGATGGCAGTTTCCTTTGGCCATGGACACAATGCTGAGTGTAAAGCTCCCAAGCTACACCTAGGACATCGGGTGAGCGAGGTCCAAGGTTGGGTTTTGTATGGAAGATACCAGGACTTGGCATATCTAAAATGTGTAGTCCTTATTCTTCACCTGAAAGCTCAGGAAGCTGTTACCAGGAGAATCACCGGTGTGAAAAGCTGGACATGAGCTGGCAATGTGCGCTGGCAGCCCAGAAGGCCAACCGTACTCTGGGCTGCATCGGGAGAAGCGTGGCCAGCAGGTCGCGGGAGGTGATTCTGCCCCTCTACTCTGCTCTGGTGAGACCTCACCTGGAGCCCTGCGTCCAGCTCTGGAGCCCTCAGCACAAGAAGGACATGGAAGTGTTGGAGCAGGTCCAGAGGAGGGCCACAAAAATGATCCAAGGGCTGGAGCACCTCTCCTATGAGGACAGGCTGAAGGAGTTGGGCTTGTTCAGCCTGGAGAAGAGAAGGCTGCGGGGAGACCTGATTGCGGCCTTCCAGTACCTAAAGGGAGCCTATAGGAAAGACAGGGAAAATCTTTTCAGTAGGGCCAGCTGTGACAGGACAAGGGGTAATGGTTTTAAACTAAACCAGGGTAGGTTTAGACTAGATATAAGGAAGAAGTTCTTTACAATGAGGGTGGTGAAACACTGGAACAGGTTGCCCAGAGAGGTGGTGGAGGCCCCATCCCTGGGAACATTCCAGGCCAGGTTGGACAGGGCTGTGAGCAGCCTGATCTAGTTAGCGGTGTCCCTGCTCCTGCAGGGGGGTTGGACTAGATGACCTCTAGGGGTCCCTTCCAACCCAAAACATTCTATGATTCTATGAACAGCCATGGTCTGTGAATCTGTCGCTGTGCCTATGGTTCATGGGGGTTTGTGGGGATTTTTGAAGATGTAGGTGAGGCTCAGTTCGGGGTTTGCTACAGCGGAGGGTAAAGTTGTCTTCAGAGGACCCAGGTCGCTTTCTAACCAGTGTTGGTGTCTTCGTTTTTGTATCCAGCACCAGATGGACCCTACTGGTAACTTCTATAACTACAGAACAGCATTGCGGGGGGCTGCTCACAGATCACTCACCGCACACAGCAACAGGGAGAAGGTACGTGTGAGCGTGTCCCATTTACCCCCAAAGGATGGTGTGTGTTGCTGCTGAGAGTCAGAGGCTCAACGACTTGGGCAGATGCTCTCCTCCGTCCTGTGGGTCACTGACACAAGGCTCGTGTGCTGCTAAATGCAACTGGAAGCGTAAATGTGTGGCTGAGGGGAGTCTGAAGTGGCTCTCGGGGCTTTTGTGGCTTGCTGTCAGCCACTGGGGAGCTAGAGAGGGCAGGGGACGCGGCAGGGGGGACTTTGTTGCAAGCATCTCTACATCCCTGGAAAATTCACATTGTTTAGATTGATAAACCTGATGGAACAGGAATTCCAGATGCAAATGACTGTTATTTTGGTATGGAGCATCGGCCCGGCAGGTCCAGGTGGAGCCAGGTTAGAGCCGTGCCGGCCCGGCCGCGGGGGCGCCCCCGCCGCGGGGGGACTGAGT